TGCCTTCCTTCAGCTGCTGGAGCTACGTACCCCGGCAAAGTTTGGGGTATGCTTCGGGTATGAATCAGGTATGCTTTGGGGTATGCTTCGCGGGCCATCTACTTCAAGGATGTTGGCTTTCGTCTTTGGTTTCGCGGGGAACTCCAGGGCTAGGAGTAGTAGCAGTTGTAGTAGTAGTAGTAGTAGTAGTAGTAGTAGCAGCAGTAGTAGTAATAGTAGTCGTCGTGGTGGTGGTGGTGGTAGTGGTAGTGGTTGTGGTAGTAGTAGTGGTAGTGGTGGTAGTTGTGCTAGTGTTAGCCATCGTCATCGTCATCGTAATCATCATCATAACTTAACCATCATCCCATCCTGCAGCCTAGACAGCTACGCATGGAAGTTGACAGCTGCCAAGAATGCTTGCAACATGGTAGATTTTTTGGGGTATGCTTCGGGTATGCTTCGGAGGTATGCTTCAAGGTATGATTCGGGGTATGCTTCGGGGTATGCTTCGCCCAGGGTCCAACATCCCTCCTATATAAAGCTTCGAGACCCTCATTTTTGGACAGACCCATATTGGATGAGCATATGGAGGGTCGCCAGAGTTTTTTGGGCTCTCAGACATCGACGTCCGCCTCCGTGATGTTGCCGAGACCCTACCGAATGTTGTCGGTTTCCGCCCTCTCCCCGACCCCATGCCCATGGTCATCCTCAGCTTCCTGACCACCATCAACATCGCCATCAACGTCACCACCATCATCGACATCGTTATCTCCTGCATGCGTGGTCTTCACACTGTGCCTCCAGGATATGGGTAGTTGTCAAAATTATGGTCCCTTTTGGGGTACCCTAAATAATAGGTGACGTATTATAATAAGGACCCCAAAAAGGGACCATAATTTTGACAACCACCCATATCTACTGTACAGCTGACTTTGGCAAAGGGACTTCGGAGGCAGATTGAGACCGACGGTCCCGCCAGCCGCCACGGAGTTGCCGCCACCGTCTGCATTGAAGGCCATGGACAGGAAGCTCCTGCTTGGCGGACTATGGCCGGAGAGGTTACCTGTAGTCACTGTAGTCTCTATAATGAGGATTTTTATAAGGTATCCCCAAAAAGGAACTACAAAGGAGACTATAGGTAATTAGGCCCATTCTGATTAGTTTGAGGTCCATTAGGTTTGGGATTCATGGTATTCTAGTCTTGGACCAGTACTTGGATGATTGATGCCGCGGGGGGTCTGATCTCTAGGCCGACCACCGTACATCAGGCAGAAGACTTCGATTCGGTCAGCTCTACACGCATTCCCAAATGATGACATGCGGATGACTGGCTCAATAAGCGCAGAAATAAACCTGCATACACCCTTACATATATACGCATACCTATGTCTGTATGTTTGTATAAGTACATACGTACGAACATACAGGCATACAAAGATACAAACGCTCAGATTTACAAGCATGCAAGCAGGACACACGTACTTGCAAATGTGCTTGTGTGTGCGTGTATGTGTATACAGTATGTATATATATATATATATATTGCAGACATGTTCCACATGTTGTTGGTCAAGTTCTAATGATAGGTTTAGATTTAGATGTTTAAGGTTTCCGGATTCCAGCTCCGACTCTCGCAACGCGGAGATCCACAGTGGGTCATGGGCTTAGGGTTCAGGGTGGCTCAGGCGGATGTACCAAAAACAAAAAGCTGGTGGGTCAGCACCTGCCCGCCCCTAAGGACCCGAGCAACTTGGGTCCTGCGCAGAGACGTCGCCCAACATTTCGCCTGAGCTCAGAGGGCTTCTCCGGCAGAGCTGCACTGGTTTTAGGGTTTAGGGTTTAGGATTTAGGGTTAATTGGGGCTGTCGTTCGAAGAGTGCAGGGAGCAGAGACAAGTACGCTAGCCTGTTGTACTGAGGATCGGCATCAGAAAGATCTGCATTCAGTTTCCGGAGCTACCGCTCAAAACCCGTAGCCCGCCTGCATACCGACAAGCCTGCACAGCACCTTGAAGACAATCATTCTCAAACTCAAAAACTTCAATATCTGAAAGTGGCGGCATCCGCAACACTGCAGCTTGGGCTGCGTGGCATTACCTGCGAATGTCAGAAGCTCGGCAGTTCGGTGCTCGCGGTAGTATAAAAGCCTAAATAGGTACCGATACTATTTTTTTGGGGGGTTCCTCTTATTATATCTATAGTATAGTGGGCCCCAAAACCCTAATTATTCTAATTGTTAAGGCCCCCAAAAAAACCCAAAACCCTGAATTTCTAGTAGCCCTTATAGAGCCCAGACAGGATCCCGACTTGTTTTACTGTGTTTAGACTTGCGCTCCTCTGGGTCTCTTTGGGGTTTAGGGTTTAGGGTTTAGGGTTTAGGGTTAGTCTCGATTGTAGTTCCTTTTTTGGTTTAACAGAACTAAATGATGTGGTAAGGACTTTAAAATGTATCGCCAAAAAGGAACTACAATGGGGACGATATAATATAATAAGGATTTTACAAGGGTTCCCCAAAAAGGAACTACAATGGAGACTATAGGCACACCTAAACCCTAAACCCTAAACCCTAAATATATATATATATATATTTATTTATTTATTTATTTATTTATGGTTAAACCCCAAAAAAAGAAACTACAATGGGAGACGATAGGGAATGTCTAAAGGGCCGACCTTGAGGTCTCCCTCCAAGCTGAACTCGCGGACAAGATTGTCGCAGCCGGTAAACAAACCTGAGACGGGGCCGGTTTAGGGTTTAGGGTTCAGGGTTTAGGGTTTAGGGGATTTATAGGTTTTTTTTTTTTAAGTTGCAGTGGCCTTTTCGATTTATAGTGTTTAGGGTTTAAGGTTTGGGGTTCAGCCGGTAAACAAACCTGAGACGGGGCCCCTTAGGGGATCTATGGGTTTAGGGTTTAAGGTTTAGGATGCAGCCGGTAAACAAACCTGAGACGGCCCCTTAGGGGATTTATAGGGTTTAGGGTTTAGGGTTCAGCCGGCAAACAAACCTGAGACGCGGCTTTGGGATTTATAGGGTTTAGGGTTTAGGGTTCAGCCGGTAAACAAACCTGAGACGG